AGGTGGAGAACACTATAGAATGATGACGTTTATTGCTGGATGGTACCATATCACCACAGACGTGTGAAATTCGATGACCACATAGACGTAAATCATGTTGTTGAAAATTCACAAGTTAAAATTGAGCGGTGGGTCTGCCAGGCTTTACCAGACACTGAACCCAGCTCAATAATGAGAACAATGATAAACAAAACAGATCCTTTTGGTTATGGTGATGGTCCCAAGGAATATCAACAACGAGAGTGATGACTTGTGGTCAGTTCAAAGCAATATTTTGTGTTCGTCACGTGACCAAACTGATAAAGTTGTCTGAAGACCAGATAAGATTATGCTTATACTAGTTTTGTTTCTTTCAGTCTGACCCACCATACATAAGGCATTGAGGTATGCACACGTCTCAATCCTACTTCAAGTTCGCCCACTATGACCCTCAGTTGTGAGTAGATCGATAAATAAAATTTGATATTGAGGTTACTTATCGGGAAGTTTTGACACGCTAAAGTGGAACTTGTCTTGTTTGTCACAACAATCCTGATTGAACCACCTAACAAGTTCATTTGAGCCCAGTCTTTGAAGTCCTCTGGGTATACCCCAGCGAAACATCTCCCATGTATTTCAGATTGAGAAAAGTACATTTCTTTTATGTTGTCTGCTTGAACTTAGCTGGAGCATACATGAGGTAAACAAACTACTCCTGGTATTTGTTTGTTCGTAGTATCTTTTCAAAGACCTGACCGAAAAGTAGCAGATGTTTAGATTTTCTTGGCTCCGTGAAATAATGTACGTACCAGTGATTACCTTTGTTCTGCCAAAAAGAAACTGAGAACCTTCTGGTACTATATCGTCCTGGTAGTTTTATGGCTCATTGAAGAGTTCTAGTGCCAGAGGTATCCAAGAAGGTGATGAAGTTGTTCGTTTTGATTACGCAAATGAACCTAAGATTTCGGTGGTGAGTTGAGGAATACACCTTACTTGAGCTTGGTCGTAAGCGATGACAAATATTTTGCCCATGTAACGTTTATACAGGTACAAACTGTCGATCTTCTGCACTGCTTTTAACTTCAGTCTTTCGCGTAGGGTTATACCTAGTAGGCTACCTAGCTAGGTCATCAACTGTTGAACAGGTTGCTCCTTAAAAGTATTTTGCACAATAAATTAAGGTACTTTAAACCTAATGCATTACTCATAAGGTTGCTGAAAATTCTTCGACAACCGACAACCGGTTTTGCCTTTCTTAGAGTTCATCAAGTAGGTGCACTTCCCCAGTTTTCGTCAACCTCATGTTCTACCTGGGCCCAAATTACATGAAATTAGCGAAATACACTCATTTGCAAACAGATTTGGTTTTGCGAGAGGCCCACCTGGAACCCAGCTGATTCTATCGTTTGTGAGGTTTTCAGGCAACTGAATGTGCTGCACCAGGCCGCCTCATGTTTCAGTCGCCTCAATTCTAGAGTATGAGAACCGTCAATTTTAGGGGCTTAAACTTGTGATTTCTAAATAAGACAACTCTTCCTCTATGTCCAGACACTTCGATCAATCTGGTCACGTTGGTTATATCAATCTGTTCCTGTAAAGTGACCACGAGTCGTTGCTTCCACTGTTGGTATTCTCATAGACCATCATCATAACGAAAATAAAACCGAGCCTGTGGGTTCAGATGGACCTGTGTAGTTTTTCATGGTTCTCCTTACCGAGCTATGCTTAGTGTGAGGCCTGGCCCCGCCGCTCATTTTGACTTCTGAATTCCCAATAGCATGCTCTAGATCCGTCTGTGCTCCGCATTTCGCACCTCTGTGGTTGATAAGTCTGTGTGATATGGTACCATCGAGCAGAAAAATTCACCTGTTATTGTGATTTAGATCCCTAAAGAAATTATTTACATGTCCTACCACCAAAATGAACTATGGAAACCGGTACCGATCCGGGCATGTTAGCTCTAGTCGGTGCCGCTAATCAGCTCACTGAAAGATAGTTATAGTTCACACAAATTTAAATATCTGGCTAAATTTCGCCAAGCTGACTCAATTGTTTCTGCTGTCAGTTGGAGTTGTTTTGACACATTTAAATCCCACTGCGCGAATTCACTATGTGACTGTCATGTTCTCACGGGCAAACAAAATGGTTCCGGTGGTTTTGGTTTTTCACCACGTAAAGTCTCTTACCTAGCCTCACGGGGAACAGCGTATTTCTGTCACAGCTGCGGGAGCTGTAGACTTAGTCACATCGCTAAAATTTTTAACGTCTCACTCGGGGTACAACGATGTCTAATTTAGACGCGTTACGTGTCATTCATTACCCATCGTGTACCCCTGTGGTCCGTACTCACAAGTTCCTTGTTGGGTTTCGATTTTCTTGTTTCGCCACTTGAGTCTTAAATTGCTTGAATGACAGCAAACAAACCTTGCACCTTGAAACGTATTAACAGAGCACGGGTTTGATATTTTTGATGCTGTTGACCGAATATAATTAATAATGTAATATAATATAATGCATCCACTGAAGCAGTGCTGTATGCCACTGGATTAGCGTTACAATCTATTCTTAGAAAGAACATTCTGAACACAGTCATAGGACAGTACCGATTTCAAATCTGTGAAAGTGGGATAGGAACACTCTAAATGCATGGTGAGCAAGATTGACGGTAAATGCGCTCTTGCCGCAGAGGTCACTATTGCAGAATAACCGATAGCTGCGCCCCATATTCTGTCAAAGTATAAATTGATTTTGAAGATAGGTTCAAAGCGTGCAGTTTCTCTTTGTCACCATAACTTAAGAGCTTTAATCACCATTGCAGCTTCTTTTTGAATTAGTCTATTGCGATCATATTATAATATTACCTAGGAATCCTTAAATGAACTATTCGGTATCTATGAAAACGATTTCAAAAAGTCCTTATGAGTTCTACTTTTTACCAAGGCAATTTTCGTTTGATGGACTAGCCAGTGAATACCATTTTAAAATAAAAATAAAAGTAATACAAACTTACTGTAAGAGGCATATTTTCATGAATCCTTGTTTCTATGTGATGGGTCCCAACTTGGCGGACCTGGGAGATGGTCATCCCCAGATTTATAAGAAAATTTACCAACTAACCCAGTCCGTATAGCATCATCAGTAGACAGACCAACATTAGCTACCAGTTTGACAGCCACAGCCGCTTAACTCATTAGTGCAGGACAACCGGAGGCACTGAAATCAGGAATCCGCTGACTAGCCAGACTACTGACGGGTTCACCCAGTCGCCTGTACTTTGATCTCAGCGGCGAGCCATTCATGGCATATAAATCACTTGACTAAACAACCCTAGTGATTCCCGGTTCGAATTAGAATTGGCAAAAACAGTTAAACCGGTTGATAGTTAGTCTCCATCCCAAATAACACTCTTCAGACATTTTACATTAAACTTAAATGACTCTATCCTACAGTTGAAATCGCTTTCCATATTTTGTTGCTGTGCGAAATTTTCAGATAGGTTTGGATATCCCATGATGGCAGGAGAGTAATGGCCTAGAGTATTTCAGAGAAGCTCCAGATTAATTCGAGGCCTTGAGGTTCAACAACCAGAATGCTTCCACATACTAACATTCTACCATACATGTTTTACATTCTGTCGCAATGATCTTAGAACCAGGACTATAAGCATTTATTTGATACAAATCGATCACTTGGAACTGGTGTACCACCAAAAGTGCGAATTTGCACCAAAATCTAGAGCAAAGCTTTAAAGCGCGTGCTTACTTGATTAAACTGTAAGAAATAGCAAGAAGCCCATAAGAGCATTTTATCCATTTTTAGCTGAAAAGTAGGCAGGGCAGTTGAAATACACTGAGACTAAAGCAACATTAAAAACTGGCAACGTTTTTGTTGACTGGGGCTGGCCAGCTTCATAGCACTCAAATAATAGCAATGCGCTTTAGAAAATAGTTATTGGTTCGTAGTATCTTCCAGGTCTGTGGACTAAACACAGTAGAATACAGTTTCTTGCAAACACCACTGTTCTTCAATATGACATGCCTAAAACGAAAACAGAATAAAAAATATCATTCGCCATTTTGATGTCTACAGATAACCAAGCTACTGAAGGGTCAAATAAATGTCCTGTCGATATTACACGGGAGAAACAGCCACAGGATTTTTTTCAGGTTTGTCCTCAAGGCGAACAAATTACTATTGGAACGGAATGATAGGAATATACCAGTATAAAACCGGTTAATTAATCTGCGCCATAAGGTGATTGGTCCGATCTATTTTCGGGGCTCGTTTTTCATACTTCCACCTCCTGATGTCACGTCCTTGAACGGTTACATCCGTGAATTCTCTGTTTTTCTGGTAGCACCATTACCACTTGGTATATCTTAAGTGACTTTATCCACTAGTTTATAGTGAAAGAAAGAATGGCTATGTAATTTAGTCGCGGCCTTGATAATCTCGCATTGAAATAACGCACGGCATTCTAATTAATTTAGGGACCTTATTCGGCTAACTGGCACCCAACCAAACCGAAACTTGAACTGCCAACTAAGTCCTGATTAATTTGTTTTTTTTTCAGATATAGATTTAATTTGATCGTCCGAAGAAACATCCGGTTATTCTTTTTGGTGCTAACCTCTTGTGAAGTGTTCATAGTCACATCACTCTTGCTTGAACTGTCGTCCTCTTGTCCTGGCGTAACTATTCTGGTGAGTACACACCTGAAGGTGGAAGCACTGGACGCAAGTTTTGCGCTTAATAGAGCTCATTTGCATCGCTTATCCGATGGCCCTGCCGGGGTTTGAACATTGGATATCTGAAATGTGAGGCAAGCGTGTACCATCACTCCACCAGCGCACGTTGGACGAATTTGAATTTTTACCTGTAAAATTCTTTGTAATTTGGCAGGCAGTTTCTTGTACCGAGCGAAGCGAGAAACCTTTACCTATTACTCATCTAACCGAATACAAATGTCTTTTCAGGGTCTATGTTGGTCTCGCTCCGTTCTTCTCAAATCTCCAGAACAGATTATTTTACTCCAACTAACATTCAACTGGAAAATTGGCCAACATTTTTCATGAAGCAACATTGGCCAAACGATGATCCAGGCAACCCATCATTTGTTGGTTGGTTTGTCTCAAATGATAGCAGAACCCCTGAAGCCATCCGAATGTGTACAAAAGACTCAAATTCGTCCGTGCCTTGTCCAACATTAAGTCATACAGAATTTCGATCCACTCAGCTGCACACGGATGCTCGTAAGTAAATTAAACGCGCTTTAATTTCTCTGTTTAAATTTGTTCTGTTATAAAAATAGTTGAATCATAGGACTAACTTTTCTTCCTATGAGTTGTTTCAGACAACTGCTGATTTTCAACACAGGTTAAATCTGGAGGAATTGGACTCTACTGCCCACGGACATTAAAGGTTATACAACATAAAGTGTTTGGCGTGTACTCAACCTCTAATGCAGTGCCATGTATCATGTATTCCCACGTATTTACCTGAAAAACGGCAAGTTGCAGCTTCTCAAATGGTTTAACCATCAATAACGTGTAGCCTAATCAAAGAACGCAATTACGGACGTATATTTTCTCAGGAAACATTACTGTACTTCATAACCAAAGTGAAAGCTAATCTGTTTTGGGCTTATGAGCTAGTAACCTCGCTTACGTTCAGTTTAGGAGCGTGTGCATATAGATCTCCTGAAGTTTTTCCACAATTTAAGAGTCTAACATCGATTAGCTTTATTATGTTATGAGGTAGTCCATAACGGTCTATAAAGACGATTTTTGAGAGGCGAAAATGGTACAATTGACTCTAGTCATAGTCAACTCTAACAGCCTTTCATTGTCCCTACAGTGACCCAGCTCCTACGGCTCACCCTCCCCATCTAACAAGCATCCGTTGATCTCTGGTTACTAAACCGTCGGAAGTCTTGTGCAAGACCGTCCTGGCGCACCCATCCGATTCAGGCATAGTGGCTGTTACAATTCCTTTCGACCAGATACCGCGCGTGTGTTGCTCTCCAAGTATCAATACCAGATCACCCACTCTTATGTTTCTTCAATTATGCCGCAATCGAAGCAGTAGAAGGTATTCTCTCAGTCAGCGGCGCCAAAACGTGTCAATTGATTCTGCCTCTACTGCTGACTATATCGGTGCCGTAGTCCTGAATCTTCATCAATACAGATGAATGATATTCGTGGTAGGAATGGATGGTTCGGGGTCAATATATCAATGTTATCGGGATTAACTAGCACTGGAACCAATGAGTGGTTGTTCGGCATTCGTTCCACGTCCGTTAGTTATGTCGTCGGTGATTCTTCTGCTCCCAAAAAACCTGCACTTAGAACACGTTAAATCGATTGTATCATCCTCTCCCTAATGCCACCTTTGTGTCTAGCATAAGGAGATTAAAGTGCCAGAGAATTTGTCATTGTAACGTTTTGTCCTTTACTTCGTTGCAATCCACTTCTGCCCCAACGAAATTGGTGCCTCTATCACTGTACACCTCCTGTGGAGTTCCTCGTCCATTGATGAATCGAGAAAATGCCATGAAGAATGAGTCATTGGATAGCGAATAAGCCACTTCTATATTTATCGCGCAGGTCTGTAAGCATGTAAAAATACAGCTATACTGCGTCCTCGTAATACGGCTTTGAAACAGCCCGAACTATTCGAGACCTGTCGCTGCAAAGGGGTATTCTCGCCTTACTCTGGCGACCGGGTGATTCGCCAATAATTGGTCGGCTGGGAAAGACGACCTTACTGTGGATTCCATGCATCTCCTGATGAGACGCTCCACAACTTTGGTAGCACCTATACCGTTGTCGTGTAACTCCTAGAGTATGTGAAGTACCCATATGACCTTCAAATTAATGATGGTGATTAGAGATGCCTCCGCTCCTTGGTGATCTGGGAGGATTACAGGGTGTCTTGTAAATCCTGACAGAGCGTGGTTGCCCAGTTGACGACCCACACATAACGGGCCATTAAGAAAATCGGATGGAACTTGTTAATCGGCAATTTCGTACGTGGTCCTTTACGTGGTTTCGAGTCCAACCTGTAAGTTGTACTCATATCGGAGGGAAAAGTTTTTAGCTGAACATACCGCAGTATCGCTTGTCGATATCGTTCAGTTCGTCGGGTCATGGAGTCTTCTTAATTTCAATACCCTTATCAACTCTTCTACTGTGGAGGTAAGATTCGAACCTGGTTTACCAAGCTACCGCTTGCCACAGCCTCACCCATGATAAATGGTACGTCAGCAACACCTCTGTTGGAAGATCAGTTGTCACGGTAACTAAAACTGTGGCGGCCGTCTTCATCTCTAGATCTGTGGGCTTATGATGAAGATGTTCGATGTCAGTCTTGGGCCACCGCTGATCACCGAGCTTCAGGTACTCAGGGCCTTGTATCCAAAGTCTCAGTAGCTGAGAATGTTATCTGTTTGCGCAGATGGAAACCGCCCCTTTTGAACAACCTATACAGCTGGTCGACTAGTCTACTAGTTTCATGGGCAGAATCGGCCTACAACAAGCAGTCATCAAGGTAAAAGTTCTTCTTCAGGACTCTAATATTGTTTGCATCGAACGATTCACGGTTGTCGGAAAAGTTTGCCTCAAAGCAAACGTTGCGCAAAATGGCAAGAACATCTCTCCGAGCAGGTGACCATTGAGTTCGTAAACATCCGGGGTCTGCTCTGAGTTACAGCCGGCGTGCCACAGAAAGCCTGGTGATACCCTATCTGCTGACTTCAAGTGATCTTGCAAGAACATTTTTTCGATGTCTGCAACCAACGCAACATCGTCCAAACGAAATCGTAGCAAAACTCTGGTGATATCATTCGTCAAATCTGATCCGGAATATAAACAGTCATTCAGCGATGGTTTTCTAGTTTTCGCCGCAAAATCTACTACTATCCTCACCATATCCGGTTTGCGCGGATTAAAAACAGAATGGTGAAGGGCCAATCGACGTACCACAGGCTGACAGGTCAGGACTCTGCTGACGTAGCCTTTGGTCTCGTGTTGACCCAGTTTGTTTGACATGTCAAGGATTAACAGTTCAGTGAGCCTACAAATGCGTATCAAGTCCATTAGGTAGACGCAGTAAACAGCAGGCTCAGATAAGGGAAGGGTTTGACCGGGGGAAAGGAAATACTCACATCATCTTTTATGAGGATGGTGTGATAGAATGTCCAATAAGGTAGTAAAACGGGCAACTAAGCTTTGGTTTATTCATGAGGTCTGAATCCGTCTCCGGATGAATCACCGGACATGGTGCACTCCATTAGTTAGTCACAAGCGTGGTATAAAAATGAGCAGTAGGTTGAAACCAACATAGTCACTTTTGTAGTGAGGAACCTCCGCCTAGGGCAACCCCGTAACAAGGGAACGACAAGTGTACTCTCAAGACTAACCATTCGTTTTATAACCCAAACGTGTTTATTCATTTTCCTTCGCCTTTCGACAGATTATCGGTCTTTTGGTATGTAATGTATGCCTAATGTATTTGTGCGGTAGAGACTTCTAGGTTTCCAGGCAAGTCTGTCTCAAGATGAGCAACTTGTGATCGTATATTCAGCATGCTGTTGACAAATCAAAAGTTGAGGAGACTGAGAGAAGCCTTTTTCAACATTTTATTGGGTGTAAAAAGCTAAAAGCTCACTAGGTGTGTTTTAAAAGCCCCAAATTTTGGCTTTCTGGAAGGCAGGGAAACACTTCAACGCATTTAGAAGCATATCCACAGCTGTGGAGATATAGGAATTACAAACGTGCCTGGGATTTAAGACAGACGTATTTTCGTTCGATTGGTGGTATTTCTTGACCAGTCCAACAGGATTCTATCCTGTTACATTTTTCCACGCTGTTGATCCATGGCCTCATATATATATATATATATATATATATATATAGTTTACAAAACACC